AACTTGACAGCCACAGCAGCAAGAATATCTCTGATGCTCCCCAAAAATTAGACACTATGAACACCAAAAGATTTCACCAAAAGAGTGAAAAGAGAACTAACAGACAGGAAAAAAATGTTGGCAATGATGTACTGGACAAGGGCTAATCTCTAAAACTTATACAAACCTAATCTTCAAAATTTATAGAAAACTTCAACACCTTAACAACAAAAATACAAATAATCCGATTAAAAGTGAGCAGAAGACATGAACAGATATTTCATCAAAGAAGACATGCAAAAGGCCAAAACACACTTGAAGAAATGCTCACAATCATTAGCCATTAAAGAGATAGTGGTGGGAAAAAATCATCTCACCCCAGTATCTACAGCAAAGTTAAAAAAAAAAATGCTGATGAGGGTGTGGAAAGACTAGAACTGTCCCTCATACACTGCTGGAGGGACTATAAAATGGTGCAACCATTGGGGAAAATGGTACGGAGCTTCCTTAAAAAGCTGGAAATAGAAATACCATGTGATCCAGGAATCCCACTACTAGGTATATATCCTAAAGAAATAAGAACCACAATATGAACAGATATATATACACGCATGTTCATTGCAGCACTATTCACAATAGCAAAAAAATGGAAACAATCTAAATGCCCATCAATGGATGAATGAATAAACAAAACTAAGGAGTTCTGGTAGCATAGTGGCTAAGTCACTTGCCTGCTAACCAGACGGCTGGCGGTTCAAGCCCACCAGCCACTCCTCGGAAGGAAGGTTGGGCAATCCTACTTCCGTAATGATACTGCCTCGAAAACCCAAGGAGGGGTCGCTATGAGTCGGGGCCGACTCGACGGCACATAACAACAACAACAACATGGTACACACATAAACAATGGACTACTTTACAATGTTAGAACTAGAACAAGAATGAATCTGCAAAACATCTCATAACGTGGATGAATCTAGAGGGCATTATGCTGAGTGAAATTTGTCAATCACAAAAGGACATACTGTATGAGACCACTACTGTGAAAAGTCAAGAACAGGATTTCACACAAAAAGAAATATTCTCTGATGACTACCAGAGGTAGAAGAGGAAGGGAAGGTAAACCACTAACTAGAGGGCAGACACATATTAACTTAGGTGGAGGGGAAGGTAATTTACAGTAAGGTGAAGGTCAGCACAAAATGATCAAGGCAAAGGCAGACATTGAGAGGGGTACAAGAGTTAAAGGCAACAAGGTAAATACTGGTTCACACACAATCCCGGAACAACAGCAATAACAATGGCTAGATATGCCAGCTGAACAGGTATGGGAAAGAGAACAGGACTATACCCAGGAATATATTTAAGTTTGACTATGATATTTTTACATATATATTTACATAGTGCCTAAGGCATTTAACTGCTAACCAGAAGGCTGGAGGTTCAAACCCAGCAGCTACTCCTCGGAAGGAAGATTGGGCAATCTACTTCCGTAGTGATACTGCCTCAGAAACCCAAGGAGGGGTTGCTATGAGTCGAATCGACTCGAAGGCAGTGAATGAGAAATATATTTCAGGAATGTAATAGAACATACAGGAGACAAAGTTATGGAATAAATCACTGGGCCTGGGGACTCAGGAACATAACTTCAGAGGACATCGAGGTCAATTGGCACAACACAGTCCATAAAGACAATGTTCTACATCCTACTTTGGTGAGCAGCGACTGGAATCTTAAAAGCTCGCAAGCAGCCATCTAAGGTGCAACTATTGGTCGCTCCCCATTTGGAACAAAGAACAGGGAATGGACTATGCAAACTACAGCCTCTAGGACCCTGAGACCAGAACTATATGGCTCTCAGCTACCACTACTGACTGCTCTGAAAGGGATCACATCAGGAAGTCCTAGATAAAGAGGGAGAAAAATGTGGAACAAAACTCAAAATCATAAAAAAAAAAAAAAACCCACCAGGCTTACTGGTCTGATAGATTGGTAGAACCCCCTAGACTATAGACTTTGGTCACCCTTTGGACCTGGAACTAAACTCACTTCCGTAGTTCAATTTTCAGCCAAACAATAGACAGGTCTACATGGTGAACAATAACTCTAGGCAGGTATGCACTTCTTAGAACAATCAACCATTTGAGATCAAAATGGCAGCATTTGCCCAAGGACAAAGTTCAGTAGGCAGGAGGCGTGAGGACAAGGAGGAATGGAAATGAGAAACAAAAGGAGGAAATGGGAAGAGTGATGTTACATTGAGAAGATTCCAGTCAATGACATGAAGCAAAATACGTATGGCTTGCTGAATGGAGAACTGATTTGCTCTATACATTTTCCCTCAAATCACAATGAAAAGTTTACACAATAAATAAATAAAAATAATGAAATAAATAAATAAATACCTGGAGGCACACTGGAAGAAAGGCCTGGTGCTCTAATACTGAAAAATCCATCACTGGAAACCCCACGGAACATAGCTCCACTCTGACACACACGGATCACCAGGAGTAGGATTGGGCTTAAGGCAACTGATGTGGTTTTTGCTTTTAAACTTATACTAAAAGCATGCAGAATGTCAATTAACAGTACTTAAGGGAATTATGTCTCTGTTTCATAGGAGAAAGAGACATCAATACCCACAAACAGAACACATTTTATATATTATTTGTTTACTTTCTAATCAGTGACAATGTCTTGGAATATATATCTTTCACAGTTTTCTTCCAGAATTAAAATTGGAGGATTACTTTGAACTAGTGGTCCACAGTGATATTATAAAAAGGAAATTAAAATGTTTGTATACATCAGCAGAAAGGCCTACAAAGCAGAACACCTACCCAAGGGAGATGCACGCCTTAGATGAATCAACCATGAGACATCAGACGGGCAGTGTCTGCACAGAGGGAAAGCTAGCCAGATAAGAATGCATAGGTAATAAGGGCACAGGGAAGGAGCAGTCCCAGGGAGGAGAGGGGACGAGAGCTTTCTGTTGTTGCGACTGTAAACCAAACGTGCATGAACTGTTCAAAGTAAAATGAATCACAATAAAAAAAAAATGTTTGTATATGAAAAGAAAGGTTTAAGATGTTGCGTAAGTTGCTTCACCAGTAAAAATATAAACATCTGTCCCTTTTTTCAACATAATTACTGTTTACATTTAGAAATAACTTGTAGTACCATCAGAACAAACCCACAGGTTAAATAATGGATTCTGAAATAAAACACTTATACTATAAATAAATCTTATACTACATTTCATCAATTCTAAGATAACATATTTTTATATCTCTGAAATCATGATACATCTTACCATCGATGCTGTTGTTGTTGTTATGTGCCGTCGAGTCGGATCTGCCATGTAGCAACCCCTCCTTGGGATTCCGAGGCAGTATCTCTAGGGAAGTAGACTGCCCAACCTTCCTTTCAGAGAGTGGCTGGTGGGTTTGAACCGCCAGCCTTCTGGTTAGCAGTCAAGTGCCTTAGGCACTACACTACCAGAGCTGGTAATTATACAATATAGTTGAAACCCATGCTTCTTCCTAACATTAATGATAGATAGGGATCCAGGATGTTAACAGAAAACTGAGTGCATCTATAATAGCTCACCAGTGTCCCTGAATAAAGGATCTAAATATATTCCGAGTATCCCAGACTTAGGGGCTCTGGTAGCATAGTGCCTAAGGCACTTGACTGCTAACCAGAAGGCTGGCCGTTCAAACCCATCATCCACTCCTCAGAAGGAAGATGGGGCAATCTACTTCCGTAGTGATACTGCCTCAGAAACCCAAGGAGGGATTGCTATAAGTCAGGTCCAACTTGACAGCACATAACAACAACATCCCAGACTTAACCTGCCGATCTTGACATCTTTTATCTGAACTATTAAAATCAGCTAGCAAGTTTAAGGAAAGCCAAACTAATGTAAAAAATAGTTTTCACTTGTAAAATGGACCTCCGCTTACATTTTTAGTTTCATTCAATCTTTTGAAATATTAAGACTATTAATAACTTACTGATAACAATTAATGGCCTCCCCAAATAATATTACCAAAACCAATCATTTCAGTTCAAGCTATTAAGAAATGATACAGTAATATCTAAAATATTTTTAAGAGATAAAGCCACAAAATAACCTGAATTTTTACATCAATCCATCAACTAACTCTTCATGTGGTGGGAAGTAAAGGTGGCAGAAAAGACTAATCACACTGGCAAGCTCATTTTCCTCTTCAACTATAACAATGCTAAAGAAAACCTGTAGATAGGTATAGATATATATTCATTTGTTCCAATTTTTAAAAAGTAAAGATAAGACAGCATTTAATAAATTTGCTATAAAAAAAACTAAACCAAACTCACTGCTATTGAGTCGGATCCGACCCATAGTGACCTCTCCTGGGGTTTCTGAGGCAGTATCACTACAGAAGTAGGTTGCCCAATCTTCCTTCCGAGGAGTAGCTTGTGGGTTTGAACCACTATCCTTCTGGTTAACAGTCAAATGCCTTAGGCACTATGCCACTAGAACTCCCAAATTTTCTATACTAATTCTCTAAATGTTATAACTTGCTGTCAAGAGAAATGCAATCATAAAAAATAAACAAAAGGTCCATGAGTAAAGAGACAAAATTTTATATACTGTGCTAAATTATACTCTCGGAAGGAAGATGGGGCAATCTACTTCAGTAGTGCTACTGCCTCGGAAACCCAAGGAGGGGTCACTATGAGTCAGGTCCAACTCGATGGTACGTAACAACAACAACAAATTATACTATGGTATAAATTAAGATGAGCTCTTCTACTAAAAAGGTGGACAAAGGGGACTTCTGGGACTTTTAAAAAGAAAGAAATAAGACATTAAGCACTGATTTCAAATTAATATAAAAGTTCTGAAAAAACAGTGTCTATAGCAAAATAGTTCAAGATTAGTTTTCTCACCCAAGTTGGGAAAGCTATGTGCACTAAATACCAAATATATCTCAGCTAAAGTACTGATTCTCAACTAAGCCTTAACACAAAAACTTCTACTCTACCTTATTACTTCTCAATTTGTTTGATAGCCGAGTCCTTATTCTATCAGATTGTAGTATCTCAGTACACAATTCAGGAAATTCACTTGTTTCTATTTTGATTTTTTTTATTTTGTCACTTCTTTTTGGTGAGTCTTCCTCTTGTCTAATTATTTTTCTTTTTATCACTGGATAATTGATAAAATTGGTTTGAGTTTCATGGTTGAGTTTTATAGTTTGGCATTGAGAAGCCATAGACCATTTTTGTTTATAAGGCCCCTTTGCTTGAGAATAAAGGGATGGCTTATCTAAGGCCAATGAAAAGTCATCAGTATCCGAAATACTACATGCAATATCATCACAGTCTGACAGCACTTCAACTGATGCCGTTTCCTGGTTAAGGTCAGCCCAGGTAATCTTTCTTTCTTCACTCAAATTTTTTTTTTTAATTATTCTGGACTCACAGTCATCATCAAAGTAACAGTGGAAACGACCTCCCTTAAATTCCTTCACAAGAGCATTTATTTTTATATCATCTTCTCTCATTATCTGAGACCATGTTTTCCCTACAAATGAAGGAGGGACATGAGGCAAGGCTTCAAGAACTGGTTCATCAGGATTATCTTCTATGACTCCCTTTGCTTTTTCCAGGTTTCTTAGATGATCAACCATGGAAACAGAGCTTGAATGGGAATCACAGTTATCTTTCAGGTCAAAGGATATCTTCTTAAATAGGTCTGTTTTATTAACAGCTTCTTTAGGCTGGTCACTGTCACACTGAAAAGAGGTATCACACTGTAAAGTCATAACAGAACCACATGGTTCACAGTTCATACTTTTTAGATCTGTATGTTTTAATTTCAAAGGGTTTTCTTTATCGGTCATTTCATGGATCACTGACTCAGAGGAGGAATCACAATCTATTGTAGAAGCACCAGATTCACAGGTCTTGTTTTTTAGGCCAGAATCGTTCAAGTTCTTTTGAAGGTTGACTTCTTTGGTAGCTTTTTGCAGTTGGTCAGTCACTGACTGAGAAGAAACTTCCCAATTTAAATTTATTTTAGGACCACTAGATTCACAGATCTTATCTTCTAAGTCAATATAGTTCTCCATTTTTTTAACAGGCCCTTGTGGTTGGTAAGTCATGAGCTGAGGTGAGACATTAACATTAAAATCTATTTCAGAACCACAAGAATCACAGCTTAAATCTTCCAGAATAATATAGTCTCCCTTTTGGCTTACTAATTTGAAAATCTCTTTGGATTGATTTGTCACTAATTGAGGAGGTTCTTCACAAATATATCTTATTTCAGAACCACAGGAGTCACAATTCTCATCTTCTAGATCAATACAGTCTGCATTTTCACAGTTCATTTCTTTGACAGTCATTTGAGGAAGGTCAGTCACTGACTGAAAAGGGGTATCAGAATCAGAAATGATTTCACAATCACTATCACTGGTCACCAGGCCCAAAAATACCTCTTTATGAAGATTTGTTTCTTTGACTGACACTTGAGATTGGTTAACTACTACCTGAAAAGGGTTATCAGAGTTACAAATCATGTCAGAATCACTAGGTTCATTGGTCTTTTCTTCCTCATCAACATGCTTTTCCTTCTGAAGATTTGTTTCTTTGCAAGCCACTGGAGGTTGGTCAACTTCTGTCTGAAAATGAACATCAGACTCACATTTTATTTCAGGAGCACTGGATTTACAGTTCTTATTTGCTACATCATTATGATCTTTCTTTTGAAAGTTTGGTTCTTTGACAGCTACAGAAGATTGATCAGCCACAAACGGAACAGGAACATCAGAATCATAAGTTACTTCAAAATCACCTAGTCTGTAGCTCTTATCTTCCAGATAAACATGGTCTTCCTTCCAAATACTTACTTCTTTAACAGTTTTCTGAAGCTGGTCATCCACTGACTGATGAGGATCATCAGAATCAAAACTTGTATCAGGACCACAAGGATCACTGCTTTTGTCTTCCAAATGTGTATGTTCCTCTTCCAAATTTTGAGGTTGTTCAACTACTGACTGAATAGGGGTATGTGAAGCATAAATGACTTCAGAACCGTTGAGTTCACTGCCGGAACCACTGAGTTCACTGCCTTTATCATCCAGACAAACATTTTCCTCCTTTAGAAGACTTATTTCTTTAACAGTCTTTTGAATTTCATCAGCAACAGATTTAAGACATTCATCAGAATCACAATTTATTTTAGAACCACTAGATTTGACATTCTTATCTTCCAAGTCAACATGTTCCTTCCAAAGGGTATCCTTAAGTACTTCTTCAGTTTGACCAGTCATTGACTGAAGCACATCAGAATCATACTTGACTTCATAATCTTGAGATTCATCTCTCTTATCTTCCATGTCAACTTCTTCATCCTCCCAAAGACTTATTTCCTTAACAGCTTTTTGAAGCTGGTCAGCCACTGACTGAAGAGGGTCATTAGAATCAAAACTGATTTCAGAACCACAAGATTGAGTGTCCTTATCGTCTAGTTCACTATGCCCCTGCTCCAATATAGTTACTTGAGATTGATCAACTATTGACTGAAGCAAGAAATCAGAATTCAAACTCATTTCAGAATCACTATATTGGCTGTTCTTGTCTTCTAGGGAAACATGATCTTTGTTCTCAAGGTTTATTTTTTCAACAACTATTTCAGAGAGTTCAGCCTCAGCCTGAAGAGAAATATCAGAATCTTGTATTAATGGAGAACCATTAGGTTCATAAATGTTACTTTCTAGGCCAATATCCTCTTCCTTCCACAAGTTTATTTTTTTAACAGTGTCCTGAATTTGTCCAGCCAATGACTGAAGAGGGTCATCAGAATCAAAACTTATTTTAGAACCACTAGATTCACTGCTCTTATCTTCCAGATCAACACACTTTTCCTTCAAAAAAGCTAGTTGAAATTGGTCAGTGATGGAATGAAAAGAAGCATCAATACTCAAACTTATTTCAAAACCTCTATGTTCAGTACTTTCATCTTCAGGGTTAACACAGTCCTCTAGAAGTTTCTGAGCCAGTGACTGAGGAGAGACATCATAACCCAAAACCATTTCAGAACCACTACATTCATCACTCTTATTTCCTAGAACAGGCTCTTCTTTCTGAACGTTTATTGTTTTAACAGATATTTGAGGCTCAGTCACTAAATGAGGGACACCAGAATCCAAAATTAGGTCAGAACCTCTGAATGTTGCACTTGTGTCTCCTACGTCAGCATGCTTTTCATTTTGAAAGTGTATTTTTTCAACCACTACTTCAGGTCGACGAGTTACTGACTGAAGAAGGGTATCAGAATCCAACTTTGTTTCAGAAACACTAAATTCAGTATCATTGTTTTCTAAGTGTACATGTTTTTCTTTATGGTGGTTTATTTCTTTAACAGCTATATCAGGATGATCAGTTATTAAATGAAGAGGAATATCAGGTTTCAAACTGATTTCAGAAATACTAGATCCATTACCCTTATTTTCTAAGTGTACATGTTCTTCTTTCTGAAGGTCTTCTTCTTTATCAGCTATGTCAGAAGGATCACTCACTAAGTGAAGAGAGATATCAGATTCCAAACTAATTTCAGAAACAGTAGGCCTATTACCTTTATTTTCTAAGTGTGCCTGTCTTTCTTTCTGAAAGTTTATTTCATTAATAGATACTTCAGAATAGTCAGTCACTGAATGAGAAGTGATACCATAACCCAATCTTAATTCCAAACCACTGGGTTCACTTTCCTTATTTTCTAAATGTATCTGCTCTTCTTTTTGAAGATTTAGCATTTTAATAGCTACATCAGTATGATTAGTCACTGAATGAAGAGAGATATCAGAATCCAAACTGATTTCAGAACCAGTGGATTCATCACTCTTCCTTTGTAAGTGTACATGTTCTTCCTCTTTAATGGTTATTTCTTTAATATCTACTTGAGAATGTTCAGTATCTGAATGAAGGGGTATATCAGAATCAAAAGTTATTTCAGAAACACAAGATTCATAACTTTCATTTTCAAGTTCAACACATTCCTCCTCATTATCAGTTACTAGAGGCTGGTCAACTACTGACTGAAGAGAAATATCAGAATCAAAAGTTATTTCAGAACTGTTTGACTCACAGCTCTTATCTTGCAGGTTAATGTGATCATCTAGTTCTTCAAAATCCAGCTGAGACTGCTCAGTAACAGACAGAAGTGGATCAGAATCAAAAGTCAATTCAGAAATGGAGCAATCGTAGCTTTTAACTTCCATGTCAACATTTAACTCTTTCAGATTTATTTCATCCAGAGGCCCTTGACATTGACCATTAACAGACTGACAAAGAGAAGCATGGGAATCAAAACTGAGGTCAGAAACGCTAGGTTCATTGCTCTTATTCTCCAGGTCAATATCTAACTCCTGAGAGTTTATCTCTTTAACTGCTACTTGAGATTGATCAGCCAAGAGCTGAGCACCACCATGAAAACTCATTTCAGGACCATGATATTCATGGTTCTTATCTATGAGGTCAGCATTCTCTGCTCTCAGAAGATTTCTCTCTTCAACAGCCCTCCTAGGTTCATCAGTCATTGTTTGAAGACAGACATCACGATCAAGGCTTGTTTCAACACCACTGGGCTTACAGTTCTTATTTTTCAGGTCAACATGCATATCCTTTAAGTTTCTTCCTTTGACAGCCAGTTGGGGATGATCAGTTACTGACTGAAGGGAAAATCCACAATCAAAACTTGTTTCAGAACAACTTGCTTCATAGTTCTTATCAACCAAGTCAGTGTTAACCTTTTTCCAAATTTCTATTTCTTTGACAGTCCCTGGGAGACAGTCAATGGCTGCTTGAAGTGGGAAAGCAGAATCAGCACTTATTTCAGAACTACTAGATCCATAGTTCTCAGCTAAGCCAATGTGCACCTCCTTAGGTAGGTTTACTTTTTTTACAGACTGTCTGGGGTGGCCAGTAATTGACTGAAGTGAGGTATCACAATCAAAATTAACTTCAGAACTACTGGATTCATAGCTTTGGTCAACCAGACTAAAATTCATAGCCTTTTCAAGGCTTATTTCTTTAACAGTCATTTGAGATTGGTTGGTAACCAACTGAAGGGAACCATCACAATCAGAACTTATGTCAGAAACACAACACTTACTCTTAGACTGCAGATCAGCATGTACCTCTACTGGAAGGTTTACTTCTTTGGCAGTTACTTTATATTGGTCAGTCAGTGAAAGAAAAGAGGAATTGCAATCAAAACTCATTTGAGAACCTCTGGATTCACAGTTCTTGCCTTCTGAGTCAACTTGCTCCTCCTTCCAAGGGTTCAAGTCTTGTACAGTCTCTTGGGGTTGATCAGACACTGAATGAAGAGAGCCACAATCAAACTTAACTTCAGAATTCACTAAGCTCTTCTGTTCTGAAAAAGAAGACTTGTTTAAAAACAAATGCTTTTCTTCTTGAGCATGATCCATATTAGAAAAGAATTCCTCATGGGTCTCTGGAACGGCATCTTCAAAGGTTTCTTTGTTAGAAGGTATGTTAATTTTATTCAGGTTTGCTGCTGAGTTTGCTGCTAATTTAGAGTGTGATTCCAATTTTAAGGAGCCCTCAGTACCCATAAGTTCGTGAAATTTAAAGCTAGTTGACCAAGTTTTATCCCGAAATTTTTTACCTCTCTGTAAAATCAATTTACCTGAACTGATGCAAAAAGATTTCCTATTTGTTTCTTTAGGTTTCTGATATGAAAATGAGGAAGTTTCTAGATGAGATGATAGTATGGGATTGCTTGAGCTCTTGCCTGGTTTATCAAAGTATCTGTCCAATTTGTTTGGGTCAGATTTGTTAACTGAATCCAAATGGGCTACTAGTGGTAACCTCGTAGTGTTAGATGTAACTGGTTTATCACAAGAACTTCCAGATAAACTACTAGCAGAAACACTGGAAATCACTATGGGACCTATTAAGTTTTGTCCATTATTTGTAGCTTGACCAGCATCTACTGGATTAAATTCTTTCATACTGCTCCCAATCTTATGAACAAACTCCAAGGAATGCTGCTGTCCCTTTTCCAGTTTCTGAATAACTGATGGTCGAATTGAAACATCCTTTATACATTCCTGACACTTGCCAGGTCTGGAACACGACTCTTCAACAGGTTTAAAACCCTTGGTGGGTATATCTGCTCTGAGTCCAGTAGTGTCCTTAACCATTTCTTCAGGTATAACATCATCCAAATGAACCACTTCTGGGGACACAGTATTCTTGAGATGTTGCTCATTGTATGACCTAAAAAGCAAGGGGAAAAAGTCCATAAAGATATTCTAATATGTATTTAAAATGTTAAAATAAAGGCACAATAAATGTGTTTTTTTTTTTTTTTTTTCTATTCCAGGTTATTGTTAAAGGTTAAAGAATCAAGGCAATTATATGACACTGTATACTTACATACTTCAAGGAGGCAATCACTACATAAAATGGAGGTACTAAAAACTTAATAATGCAATTGGCTCCTTAACATGAGAAAAATGTAAATAAAACCATATATTTTTCAGTTTTCAGAACAGTAAATATCAGAAAGTTTGGCACAAGTCACTTAACCTCCTTATGACTGTTTCCTCCTCTGAAAAGTAGGGACTAACAGTAATATTTTTCCCATGGGATTGTTTTGAGGAACAAATTAGTAACATATAAAGAACTTGTAACACGTAAAGAACTTAAAAAAAAAAAAAGAAAAAAAAGCCTGTCCCATAGTAAGAATTCACAAACATTAGCTATTATTACAACACATTGTTTTGGCAAGGTTGTAAGGACTCTGGCATTTGAACACAATGCTGATAGGAGTGTAGATTAGTTTAACATCTATGAAAAGCAATTTTTCAGTATCTATTAAAATGAAAAATATATATACCCCTGACCTAGTAATTCTATTTTTGGTTTCCTCATATGCTCAATGAGGCATGTAAAGAATATTCACTGATACATTTATTTTTTAACTCACAAATGACTGGAATCAATCTTAATAATCATCAATTAGATAATGTTGTACTTAATGAAATACAATGTAAGTTTTAATAATAATTAGGCAACTCCATACGCACTTTTAATAAAGATCAATTAGTATAAAACACTGTGGGGAAAAAAAAAAAAAGGTGGCCCAGTTTGTGCCTGACTACTAATGTAAAAGTTAGCAGTCTGAACCCACCCACTGCTTCTGCCAAAAAAGGCCTGGCAATCTATTTCTGTAAGATTAAATCCACTGCCATCAAGTTGATTCCTACTCATAGTACCACCAAGAAAACGCTATGGAGCAGTTCAACTCTGCTACACATGGTGTTGCTATGAATTGGAATTGACTTGATGGCAATGGCTTTGGGTTTTTATTTTTTTGGGGGTAGAGGGGTTAGTGAGAAATGTAAGTGTCAACAGAATGCTACCATATATGTAAAACAGAGGGGAAAGACTATATACTTGGAATATCCATAGGACACATAAGAAACTGGCCATACTGGCTGCCTCCAAGTGAGTGGCTGGGACAGGAATATGAGCAAGATTTACGTTTGCATGTTCCTTTTCAGTTACATCTAGATGTATATATTTTCCATTCACACTTTTTAATTATTTTAAAAAACCTAAAGCATTAATATCTACAATCTTTTCTACCTGCATGAAGACAATGTACTTGATCCAAGGGACCTCAGGGATTGCTCTTTTATATAAATATAACCAGCTGACTTGGTGATATTGACATGTCATAAATTCTTAATTAAAAAAAGGCAAAAATTCGGGACCATAGTCTTGGGGGACACCAAACTTATTCAGCGTAATATAGTACATAAAAATCTTGTTCCACAACCTACTTTGGTGATTAGTGACTGGGGTCTTAAAAGCTTTCAAGTTGCCGTCTAAGATGCAACTATTGGTTTCCTCTCATCTGAAGCAGAGAAGAGTGAAGAAAATCAAAGGCATCTGGAAACAATTAGTCCAAGGATATGATGGACCCTGAGACCAGAAGAACTAGACGGTGTCCAGCTACCAATGCCAACTACTCAGAAAGAGATCAAGCCTGGAGATCCTGGATAGAGTGGGAGGAAAAATGTGGAACAAAATCCAAAAGCACAAAAATGACCAGAATTACTGGTCGGTAGAGTCTGGTAGAACCCACAAGACCATGGTCCCGGGTTACCCTTCAGGCCTAGAGCTGGATTCACTCCCATGGATTGGCTCTCAGCCCAACAGTAGAAAGATCATGCAGAACACCTATCCCAAGGTGATGCACCCATCTACTCTAGGGAGATACACCACTTAGAGAAATGGGCAATACGGCACCAGAGGAACAGCACTCACATACAGGGCAAGATGGATGGACAGGAGTGCATAGTTAAGATTGGCACAGGGAGCAGGCAGTCACAGAGACAGGAGGGCAGGAGAGTTTGTTATGGTCAGCAATGGTAATTGGGGCATGAAATCAAATGTACACATAAAACAAATTTTGCTCTGTAAATTTGCACCTAAAGCACAATAAAATTTAAAAGAAAAAATATGCTCAACAATTTAAAAAAAAAAAAAAAGAGGCAAAAATTCAGTCATACAACAACTATCCACTAAGGACATACTACTGTGTGAAAGGTCCCATGCTAGGCACTGAGGCAAATTTAAAGAAAGATGTTATTAACATCTTATATTAGTATGATCCATTTGTTACAATACAATTAGTGAACTAATATCAATGCATCATTATTAACTAAAGGCCATAGTTTATTCAGATTTCCTTAGGTTTTGCCTAATTTCTTCTTCAGTTCTTGGGACTCAGTCTAGATATGATATTGTATCTTACAAAACGTAGAAACTGGATATGAGTGTATATCAGAACTCTCTGTACTATCTTCTCAATTTTCTGTAAATCTAAAACTGTTCTTAATATATAAAGTTTATTAAAAATAATAAAAATGGAAGTAAAAAAGAAATTATCACTTAAAAACATTTTTATTCTTTTCCAACTTGAACAATGCCATGTTTGTCTAAGAGAACAAAAACTCATTGCCATTGAGTCAATTCCTACTCATAGTGACCTCCATTGGGTTTCCAAGGCAATAAATCTTTATGGAAGTAGACTGCCCCATCTTCCTTCTGTGGTATGGCTGGTGGACTTGAACCACCAACCGTCTGGTTAACAGTCAAATGCCTTAGATATTGCACCACCAAAGCACCACTCTAAGAGAACAGGCATACATGAACTGGCCACATGCAACTGTTTATTTTCAACATTTCATAAATATTGCTACTTTCCTTCTGCTAAAGCGGCAAGGAAGTGGCATCTTTTGACCTCCTCTAACTACAAAAGGAAGACAGAATCACCACCAGCAGCCTAAGCCCTGTTCTTATGAGGCCAGACATGCCACCACCTTCCAGCCCTCTTACCAACCTTGATACCAACCACCCCTCCCACAGCACCAACCACTTTTCTGCTGTGTTTGATAATATGCTGCAACGGCCACACAGACCTTACAGATTATGGTGTTTATTAGGGAAGCAACAGGCTACAATTCAAGTTCAGGAATGCACTCAGGATACAGTTCTTCCATCAGGACAGTCTCCCCTCTGCTGTGTCTCTAGACACGTCTCTGACCCTTTGCCTCTCAGCCTGATATTCTGCCATTACAGGTAACACCAATCAAATAACCATCTAAGAATCCAAAGTTTCACTTCCCAGGCCCTTTCCTTTTTTCTTTTACAAAGTCCCAAGCTTCTATGAGTCTGGAGCCACTTCAACGAATCCCATTTCTGACACCAACTGTTAAGGCGCAAGGAGGTGGCTTCTTCTGACCTCCTCTAACTACACAAGAGGAAGACAGAATCACCATCAGCAGCCTAAGGCCTTGATCTCATGAGGCCAGACATGCCACCACCCTCCAGCCCTATTACCAACCTTGACACCAACTGTCCATCCCGTGGCAACCACCACGTCTCTGCTGGGTTTGACTATTCACTGCAGTGGCCACACAGAACTCACAGATTACAGGGTTTATTAGCGAAGCAACAGGCTATAATTCAAGTTCAGGAACATGCTCAGAAGCCAGTTATTCAATCAGGACAGTCTCCCCTCTGCTGTATCCTTAGATACACCTCTCTGGCCTTTGGCCTCTTGGCCTGGTTTCTACCTCTGTGGCCCAGGTAAGGCTGCCACTCTGTCCTGTGCCTCTTGGTTCCCCTGCTTCCATCTCTCAGCCAGGCATCTCTCTCAGCTGAACGTCCCTCTCAGCCAGGTATCTCTCTCAGCTGGCAGTGCGATTTCCCCTCTGCCTCTAGGAGAGCTCATATTAAGCCTGGAAGAGCAGCAAAAATAACCAATCCCAACATCAGAGTTCTACACACCTGAGAGAGAGCGAACTTTCCCAGAAGATTACTTCATGCTGCGTCAATACCCTGGGGGGGGGGGGGTTACCAGAAATACCCCAGGTGGATGACTTTGACAATCAGGAGTTTAAAAGCAGACACTCAGTTACTCTTGGCAAATTCTACCATGGAGTTAACTGTCAGTCTCATTATAGGGAATAACTACTACCAGCTGCCCAGCCAAACTGACACATACATATTTGCATGGTTCCACCCAGTAATCCAGTGGAAGTTACAAAGGCTATGGCTAAAAAGCCATGCCATGCAACTCACTACATGGGTGGCGGCATGAGTGGCCTCATGGGAACAGGCCTTGGACTGCTGATGGTGATTCTGTCCTCCTCTTGTGGAGTGAGAGGAGGCCAGAAGGTGTCACCTCCGTGTCTCTTTAGCACTTTCCTCTCTAAATTTGTTATTTTAATATCAATTTGGAATTTGAAAAGTGAAAAGCTAACCTTGATATGAAAATATAATATAGGGTATGGCAAAAAATTCCATAATTCTTTATACTTCTGAACACTGGTCAATGAAACTGCAGTGCAATAATTATTTTACCTAGTTTTCAGAGCCCTAGATTACCTCCATTTGCCTTAAAAAAATATCACAACATTCTCAAAACAAAACTAATTTTGTAATATTTTACTAAGAAAGAAAGAAAGAAACAGAAGAAAGGAAGGCATAATGATAAAATCAAGCCATTTGGCAAAACCTCAGAAAGGTTAGGAATCACCATCCAGAGATGCACTGATTTGCTCTTTACTTGTATATGTATGTGTTTAAGATTAACAAATAAATCACAATCCATATTCCTAGTTATTTGTAATTAACTTTATAATTTTTAAAAAAAGCCCTCCAAAACTCTAACCATTTCAGGTTAAAAAACACTCTTTTAT